TTATGGGAACAATTCATATATATAACCACTTTTTTATAGGGTTTAGACTATCTCAGCTATGCTGCCACCACATATCCCTTTTTCTACTCTTAAGAACAGAGGATTGAGGGTCTCCCGGTGGTGTAAGGGGTTAAATCGCAACACTATGAAGCTATCCCCAGCCTCTACAGCACCAGCACCGCAAGAGTTCTCTCTCTGGCTGGCCCTAACCCACTTGGCATAGCAGGCTGACCGCTCCTGTCTCGCCCACTGCTCCCCTCAGCAGTATTTCAGTAAATCTGCCTGTTCTGCTCCCCACTCTGTCTCTGGTGAGTCTTTTCACCCCCACTCCCACACCTCTGGCCTACACCCCAGTTCTTCTATGCCATATATAAATTAAAAAAAAATCTTTAAAAAAAAGTGGGCTGGGACTTAGGTAGGACCAGATTCAAAAAAGTCATACTGATTTTAATATATATAATTTACAGGGCCTCCCCGGTGGTGCTGTGAAGTTGTCTGCAGCCTTTGCAGCGCGGGTTTGATTGCTGGCCAGCCAGGGAGAAACCCACATGGCGCGGCGGACTGTCTGCCTGTTCTGCTCCCCACTCTGTCTCTGGTGAATTCTCTCACCCTCCTGTGACTCTGACTGTACCCCAGTTTCTGTATAAATAAATAAATCTTTAAAATATATATATAATTTACAATAATTAAATTGGAAACTAATTTTTAAATGACTTTTTGAAGTCCATATTCTCATTGTACCAGTATTTTGCTTAGTCAGTAATTATAAAACAACCCCTAAAATTAAAGCTTATTGAAACTATAGGCAAAAACACACAGCAGTCACAGGGTTTGATAACAAGGCAGCATTCTGAAATTGGGGCTCTCCTGAAAAATCAACAAATGGTCACAACAGGTATAATGCCCCAGGGCAAGACTGTTTTTTGAGTCTTGACTGGCTAATGGTGCCAATGGAAATGCTGATTGGTTTTTATTTTTCAGAAATGACTGATGAACAGATTGCTCCTGATATATTTGCCTTCTTCAAATAGCAGGGTACATTTCCTGCCTAATGGTCCACTACCTTTACTTAAAATATGAGACAGACCTCAATCTTTGTACTCATCATTCTAAAAATTTCACTCAGGAATTCTCCAGTTCTTGGAGTGGTAGCAGGTAATGAAAAAGAGACTGTAATGACTGCCCAGGAAAACTGCAGTTGTCAGTTTTCCAAGACGCTAGGTTTGATTTGGAACAAAGCAAACAGACCTGTGGGTGCTAGAAGATGTGCTTCCTGTTACTCCTGTCAATGAACACCATGTCACCGAAAGGCTCATAGCACAAGCCCACAGCTGTCAACAGTTCAAGCTCAGGAACCAAGAAGAGGTCTGAATACTCCAATCCTAAATATCTCCACTAAAATCATCTCTCTCCTATTGTTTAGTGCTCCTAATTTGCTTCTAGACTGGAATTACTCCACAAGATTCTCCTCTGCTCTTTCAGAGTAGAGTAGGCAATCTCTGAAGTCCTCTTATTTTAACAGCATTTTTGATTATTCACTCTTTTTACATTTTCTTTAACATTTTTCTAATGGCATATTATGCCTCACCTCTCATCTAAAAGCAAAAGGGATTCATTCATTCATTCACTCACTAAAATTTAACTACCTTCTATGCAGCAGGTTCTAGTTCAGACACTAATATGTAGTAAATTAAGCAAAGTTTTAGCCTTTATGAATTTTCATTGTATCATGACAATTAAACCATAAATAAAGAAATAAATCAACTTATACAATTTCATCTAGTGACGAGTATGACGGTAATAAACACCTAAAATCTTGACAAAGGCTAAGAAAGTAACTTGGTAAAAATGTTGGGGGGAACTCGATTTTAAGTAAGAGGCTCGGAGACAATCTCTGAGAAACATTTCAACAATAACAACAGCAATAACAATAATAATGGTAATAATAAAGTGATGGAGTAAGAGATGCAAAAATCTGAAGGAAGAACTTCCCAAGAAAGAACAACCAGCAGGCTCAAAAGTAGGAAAAGCTTGGACACACATATTTGGGCAAATCTTTTCATTTTACTGCTGCTCTGTTTTTTTTTTTTGGGGGGGGGTTGGGGCATATTCCTATGTCAATTTTTAATTATATCTGCTACACTTCACAGAGTAACAAATCAGGGGCATGAGAAAATATCTATTAAATGTTTTAATGATGATGAAAGCTGTAGATGTCTCCTAAACCATGCAGTCCCTGGAGCACATTATCTGATAGTTAAAATGCTCTACTCTGACTAAATAAATACCTAGACCCACAACACAACTGGTTTTACACAAATTTGGGAGCAGGGATAAGGTCTGGAGTGCATAGTATATTTGAAGCATTTGAGAAAAGGACTTTCACAGTTCTGGAAAGAGCAGCAAAAACTAAACGGTAATAACTTCAAGATGACAGCTAACCAGAAGTGGTTACATAAGAAACATTCAAGGGAATTTTAATGTGCTGCAGCAAACAGGATTATAGGGCAATAAAATTTCAAGGTGCATTCTAGTTAAGTTCCAAAGATTTTTGCAGAGATTTTGAAAAGAGAATTGCAAGTGTCCAGAAGCTTGGGAAGAATTTTTGCTTTTCTCAGCAGAAACTGCAGAACATCTACCCTTATCCTTTGCTGAAAAACAAGCAAATAGCCAATGCTTATCTAAGAGGGGCTACCTATGGGGAGCTCTCTCTGAAAGCTCCCAAGAAGGCACATTTCAAGGGCTATTACCCTCATCTAAACTCTCCATTAGTCTACAGAACTCTATTGTGTCTCATGCAGAGCTAAACCTCACGAGTAATTAACCACTGGGTAGCTGAAAAATTAATTTTCAGCAAGTAAGTTCTACTTGTAAGTGGAACCTAACCTTCTAAAGGGCAATGGACCAGGACTTTCACTTCTTTTGGGTCTGTCTCAGTCTAGCACAAGGCTAAACACATAAAACACATTCAGCAAATATTTAATGAATGAGCCATATTTCAAAGGGTTTGCTGCTATGGGTACTCAATGTGAATAGAGTGTTTAATGGTACCTAAAGTTAGATATTAACAAGTTATAAAATCTTCTTGACTCAAAATACAGTAGGAAACATTTTTAGCCTTGTTTCTTGACACTACAAAAATTATAGAGTTGCCTGATAATATGGTCTTCCAGTTAAATTTAAATTTCAGATAAATGTAGCCTATATTTTAGTAAAAACATGTCCAAAATACAGCATTGACATACTTTAAAAAAAAAAAAGTACCACTTATCTGAAATCCTAATTTAAGTAGGCATCCCATACTTTTATTTACTAAATTTGGCAATTCTAATTCAGTCTTTAGGTCTTGAACTTGACTGAACTGAATTTACTTTTTTCCCTCTGATAACTGGGTTCTTAAATGTAGATTTATTAGCAGGTTTTAATTATTCCCCATTAAAGCGAAGATCCATGATCTTCTTGACCTTAAAGAGATGTAGAAGAAACTCCAGAGCATATGTAATCTGGGATTACTGCATAAAATGACATTATCCATAGTGTTAAGTGTTATTATGTTGAATTTTGCTAAAAGAAAAAAAAAAAAAAAGGGTTTCAGCCGTTTTCTAATGACATGGCCAGATGATGCCACAAAATCTTGGCATTACTGATAAGTACACACTGTGCTGGAAAATCAACAGTTTCTGAAGGGGATCCTGAAAGGAACTTTCCATTATTGAGGTTAGAAATAACTTAGCCCCATACTCATAAATTCCTGCAGTTCTGTGTCCCTAAGTAAGAAAGCACGGGCTTTGTCCTAATTTTATAACTTACTGAACTGGAACTAGTGCTTTTAAAAATTATGAAGGGTTATCTACTTTTTAAAGTTACATTTTTATTTATTTCAAATGCCAGTAATGTAGTTGAAAAAGTAAATATAAGAACAGGTGACCCTTCATTTTAAGAAAGCCTGATAAGCTGAAAGAGAGAGTTAGGTGAGCAGATAAATTATGGAACTCATTTCAATATGCCACTAAGTATTAGACACCTCTAGGATTAAAAAAAATCCTACATTTATTTTCTTACAAAAGATTTCTAAATAACTTTTCAAGGTTTTCTGTATATTTGAGTTGTAAAAAATTTAACTCTTGATCATTTTAGAACTTCATGTTCATAAATATCTACATAATAGCTTGCAATTACACTTAACATTCCCTTTCCTTAAAACTCTAAGGGAAAAAACACGTAAGGCAAAATTAATTCCTTCTACTGTTCTACAGGCAAACATTGCCTATAGAACCCAGTTCTCTCCAACCACCTTCCTTTTCCCTAAAACTTGCAGGTAAAGTTTCTCTAAAACTTTAGAATAAAACATTTTATTTTCATTCCTTTATATGTCAACCTTTTAAGTACAGAAGACATTAAAAAAATAAAGCTCACTATTATTCTTTTTTAATAAATTCTTTATTTGAGGATAATTTTAGATTCACAGAAAAATTTCAAGATAGTACAAAGAATTCCCATATATCCCATACCTACTTTCCCCATTAAAAATGTCTGTCTTAGTAAGGTACATATTTTACAACCAATGATCTGATGCTGAAAACTCATTATTTCAATAATACCTTATTTAGATTTCCTTAGATTTTACCTTTTACTTAATGTCCTTTTCTGTCCATCCAGGATACCACAATAATTTGTTGTCTTGTCTCTGTACGCTCCTCTTGGCTGTAGCAATTCTCAGGTTTTTCTTGTTTTGATGATTTCAGTATTAGTCTGACATTTTATATGCTCCTCCATATAGATTTATCTGATGCTTTCCTCATGATCACGCAGGCGTTACAGGTTTAGGGCAAGATCACAGATGTGAGGTGCCATTTTCATCACATCCTAACAAGATGCAGGCTATAACTATGATTTATCACTGTTGATGTTGATCATGTTCAACCGATTTACACGGTGTTTGTCAGGTTTCTCTTCTCCCCTCCCACCCCCCGCCCCGCACCGACCCCCTTTTTGCACACTTTGGAAGAAAATCACAACCCACACTTAAAAAGTGAACTAAATTCCACCTCCTTGAGGGGGCAGTATCTACACAGATTATTTAGAATTCTGCACAGGAAATTTGCCTTTGTCCCCATGTACTTATTCATCCAGTCAGAATCTCATTTGATTATAACTTTGGGTTATAATCCAGTACTACTTAGTTATTCAAATTGTTCTAGCTTTGACCATTGGAGCACTTTCAGTTGACTACTTGTCCTTTTGACAAACCTCCCCAATCCTTGAGGTTTTATTTATTTATTTATTTTTTTAACACATGCTTACTTTCTGGAACAAGAAGATGCTCCAGGCATTCCTCTGCAGCAGTTCTAGTTTTGTCCATTTGTCCAAGGAGACCTGGGTACATTTTTTGGAGGATGGCATTAGAAATCAAGATTTTAAAATAACTTTTCCTCCCCATCGCCCACATTTCTTAAATGTATTTTCTATCAGACCAAAGGACATTTATACATTCAGCCTTGTTTCTGAGAAGTAAATTATGGTTTAATTTTCTGAAATAGTTGATGATTTTAATAGTTTTTATTCTACTTTACATTTGATGACTGATTTTAATTTCCTTGTTTTATGGAGGTATTTGTTGTTTCTCTTCTTAAAGGAACTTTATCTTTAGGAAATGGGCTTCCTAAGAAAAGGAAAGATGGGTTACATCTCTTTAAACTTAAGTAGGTACAGACTGGTAATTCAACTAGAAATAGCAGGGTGTATCTAAGCCAAGAAAGAACTTAATATATACCGTCCTTAGTCAACCCTTGTTTAAAAAGGATTATATGACAAACATGTGAGGGACTAGATGTAGAAACATGAAGAGGTAGCAACAAAGAAAAAAGAGAATAAAACACAAATACCACTATCAAATCAAATCATCACTTCTTATTTTTACGATGTGTATGTGAGGGAATACCAGGAAGAACTCTTTCATAGATGCAGTGCCAAGCATGCATTCTACCTGTCAGGAATTTTAATGGTTTTAAAAACCATGAGTATGTACTATCATAGCCTAGGGTGACCAAATTTTGATGCTACTAGTATTGAGAAAGTTTCCAAATTATACAGAAAATATTAGTTAGTATACGCCACCTGAACAGGTGAGACTGTGTTCAAATCAAGTCAAAAGAGGCAATTACTCTGCACACAGCATATACACAAAGTACAACATATTAGATCCTATAACTGTTTTCCTTCTACTTCCCCTTGCAATTCCTGCTCCCCACTCCACCCCACCATGTAAACTTTGAGTAAAACAGAAGAGCCTTTAACAGACAGTATAGATGACCACTGATGAGTGAATGCAGCACTTGGGCTACTCATGAAAATCACGGCTCTCTCAGGGATACAGGAGACCCGTAGTTCAAAGTCATGCGTCTCTACTGATACATAGCTCTAATTTTTGGTCCATTTAACACTGCTAAGTTTATATCCAAATAAAAATGTTTGGGACTCATTAGCTACATTCTTTTGAAGCTAATTGAGCTAGTTAGAGATGGGCTGCCTGAGAGCTGGGTATTTTAATGTATTGTACTTCAACTGAGAAGTTGAGTTGCTTAAGTCTTCAAGTACTGCCTTGTCTTTTCTCATGGACACAGGCTGGGAATCAGAGCACATGGTCTTTCGCCAGCACAGACACCGAAGACAACAGACACAAATCAATAGAAAAAAATAACTTCTTTTTATTTACAAAAAAAAAAAATCCAAATATTGGATGCTGTAAACAAAATTCACAATCTGTTCCCTCTAGCACTGATGCAAACATGTCAGTTTTTAAGAGTACATTCTCCATCAACTCCTTTTCTGCCTGTGACACAGTCTGAAGTCAAAATATTCCGAAAGAGTGACCCAAAGTGCAGCTTGCTGCAATAGGACATCTCAGAGCAGGCAATGATTGTAGAGGGGTTGGAGAAAGAGACAGCCAGCGGGCGGAGCCTCCTCCATTCTGCAAGGCTTTGCAGCAAATCTCGTCAAGTTACCTTGACATCTTCCAACTCTGTACTTTTACCGTACACTTTAGCCATTATTACAACAAAGTTTTACATAGAGATTCTTTCTTAGCACTGAAAAGGCTATGCTATAAGAAATCTTAAAGATTATATTCAAATAGGTGCTATATATGAAATCATTTTTTTTTTTTTGCTTTTGGTTTCATCTAATACACTTCCTCTTCAAATAACAAAAAAAGCTTATTTTTGAATTGCTGACAGCTTTCAACATAATACATTTCATTTACAAAATAGTTCACAATATTTATTTGACAAGCACTGCATTGAAAACAACTTTATGCACAACAAAGCAACCAAGACGAGCAAACAGAAGGGGGTGACAGAAACAATATGTTCATTTTTCATTACCTCCTTGGCTTGGCTTACAAATATTCTTCCATCCTTGCATTTTTTTTTTGAGTCACATTTTAATAGTCCACCCAATACCAAAGTGAGCAGATATTTGATTCCATTTCTGGAAAGGAAAAGTCCATCTTGATGTAGGAATTCTTGAGGCAACTAAAAGTAAATGAAGTAAACTTTTTTAAAGGCATTGTCACAGGTTAAGTGTTCTCTGACATGCCTGACTACACAGTTGAGAAGAGTCTCCCTAAGAGAAAACTTCTTCCTGTTTTAAAGTAACAGCACACTAGGCCAGATAAACAAAAGAGCAAGCAAATCACAGGCACTAATCAGGAGTTGAGAGCTTTTCTTTTCTCTGACCTATACACACGGCTCTCTCTCACCAAACATTCAAATTTTAGGCCACACATCCACAAAGAAATACATATATTCCACTGTTTGTTCAACTACATATGCACAAGACTATAGTACATACAAAGGAGAAATAAATTATATAATCCTTAAAGTAAATGCTGAAAGTTGTCTCGAGTACATCCTGTTCTATCTGAATGCCAGGAGTTGGCTCTTCCAACTATATACTATTAACCCTTGAGTAAGTAAAAAAGAACATAAATATTTGAGGAAATAAGTAAAAAAGTGTATCTTCAAATAAGGCCCCACCAAACAAAAATCTGTGTCACAAATCAACAGCAGGTTGCTGCAGAGCCAGAGAGACATCCAGATACATTTTAAAATAGTGGACGACTCATACGTCAACAGTTAGGACGAGAAGGAAGAAAACAGACTACCAGTTGCTCCTTGGTCCCAAGAGTCCCCTTAGTTTCCTTTCAGAAAACTTTCAAACAGGTGAGCAGGTGGAGCTCTGGTTTTTGATAGTTAAGTATTAGGCCTAATCTGCAAATGGATTGATTTCCAAGGAATTCACAATGAATTTTCAAACCCAGGGCTTGAGTGAGGGAGACTAAGCCAACATGGGAGAAGGATGAGTTCCTTCCCTAGGAAACAGTGAGTGGCAGTGCAGTAACTGTTACAGCTCAGACAGAATTCACAGGGAAGCTGCTACAGCAAACTCATCAAGTTCCTGTTAAGACTTCAAAGACAGATGCACAAAAGGTAAATTCAGATGGATTAACCTAGCACTGAGCAAGCATCTGAGTGATGCCCAGATAAAAAACAAATTACACTGCCAATGGAATGATGCCAATTTATTCCCCAATCCCTCTTTAACTGATGACAAAAATCTGCTTGGTTCTTCAGAGGAATTATCACAGTAAGCAGTCATCCACTATGGTGGGCAGCGATTATGTGGCTGTTTCATAATACAAAGGGAAGGTTTTTATGTGTTGGTATTGTTTTTAACATGCATTTTCAGAGACCAGTGTCCAAAGAATGAAGGTGTCCGAGAGTGATGGTTTTAAGGTTGGCTGTCATTAGCTAAAACAGTAATGACAGCTCATTTCACAAGGTATAACTGGTCTCTGGAGAAAGAAAAAATAAAGTTGGATTTGAGTCAATGCAAAGTGATTGAATTTGAAGTACAGTACTAAATATTTAAATGCAGTGTGATAACCAGATCAAAGATGTTTCATATTGGCATGAATTTATAAAATTTTATATATAATATATATCTCATATATAAATTTTAAGCAACTGTGCAAATACTCTTTAAAAAGGGTCATTTCACATTTACTAAATTCTAGTGGTCCTGGAATGCAGAATGCATTCATTAAAAAATTCATTTAAATATTAACAAGTAGTGTTCAGATCACCAGAAACTTGTTTTAGCAGTTAGGGATTTAAACAGACTCTCACTGATCCAAGATCCACTGGATTATACACCATGGAGGCATGCAAGTATTACAAAAAATAAAAGGGTTCAAACTGCCAAAATGGCAGTTTAGTATAAAAAGAGGGCTCTGCCAAATATTCTCCTATCAGTGGAATTCTATGGCTCACAAAAAAAGGAGGAACACTCACTAAAAATGTATCATCTCTGGTCTTCCTATCAAATATATTACTTGTTTTCCTTTTTCATTTTTTAAATTTTTTTTAGATGTGGTTTTAATTCATCACTGCAATATGCCCATGCCTCATGTCATCTTTTTGAAAACATAAAAGTACACAGTATTTAAACATTTCTATTTGCTACATTATTCTAGACGATAGTCATTGTAATGTATGTATACATACATGTCGCAAATATGTATACATACACGCATATACACGTACCTATGATAACATCATACCAACAATGTTAACTTTATACAAGTGTTTGTTGAGAAAAAATAGGGCATTTCCTCCACCATTCACAAGCTTATGTGTTGTTGTATTTTCTTTTTGAATCCCTGATAAAATAAAATCACTAGATCCTAAAATTTTCCACTTCAAATTTTCAGAAGGCAACAGGCACTTCGATGTATATTGGTGTATAACAAATATAGTAACTCTTTATATATTCTACTCTATCTCTTCTACTTGGGTATTTTTATCTGTTAAATCTTTGGTCCTTGAGCATACTTTCTTTGCTACAGCTGTTTTTGTTTGCATTTTCACATTTTAAAAATGTGAGCTATGCACGCAGCTGGAAATAATGGACTGTGTCATCATAAGTTCTGCTGTTTGTTATGAGAACTGCACCAACTTACTACTGTTCTTTCAGAGCAAGACATTTCTGTTAACACAATAGGATAGTTTCACGGAAAGCACTTGCTACAAGTCTTAGATCCCAATGTTGGAGTTTCCCTTCTTCCAGTATTATTGTCACTATGCACTCCCAAATTAATTAAGTAGGGGTGAGATCTTTTTTTCCTTTGTATTTTCCCTTTTGTGAATTCCAGATTATAAGAAACTCTCAACTTTCTTTTTTCATATGGCAAAGCTATGGGAGCAGGTACTGCAAGCCCATATTGTCATCAAGCAATTTTTCCCTCCATATTTTAGGAGAACCTGCTTGCTTCTAATGACAGGTCTCTTTTATTTCAAGATAGAATCCAATCGGATAGGAGAATTATTGTAGATGGGAGGGCTGTTGGAGGGAGGGATCATTTTGAGATCATGCTCCCATACCTATGCAAAGATCCACAAGCTTTGCCAAGCTTAAAACCAGGAGCAGGTTACCATTGCATAAAACACATCCCTAATCAAGGCTGGATCACCTCAGCCATTTCTTCTTCTTTTTTAATTTACCTATCTTGTCTGAAATGGCTGCCCCACAGGACATTTAAGTGATTCTTAATTGCAGGGTAGCCAAGTAGAGTATGTCTGTTGCTGGCATGTGAATACTGGCTGGACCTGTGCAATGTAGTAATTGCTAAAGTTGGCATCTGCTACATAGGGTGCCGGCTGGTAATAACAAGTGACATTAGCCACATTAGGGATGACATTTTGGTCAGCGAGCACACGGATAGCCAGCATTGTGATAAGGTTTAAAGTCTGTCTTCTTTCATGTCCCATCAGGCACACTGTACTCTCATTCACCACTCCGTGAAGGGTCATGAGATAGTCATACTTGCGGTCTTCCAATCCCACGAAGTGGTTCTGCAAATAGGATTCCAGTTTTCTCTGCTGCTCTCCAATGTCTGAGAAGTCGATGAAAAATCTGGAACACATATACCTCTGAAGGGTCTTAATCTCATCAGAGGCAGGCCTAAAGCCCCTCACTAAAAGGTTGCAGTACTTAAGGAGGCCTCCCCCTCTGATTTCCTCTGGGTTCCGGGTGGCAATGATCTTGTTACAAAGGTGATCAAAGGCTTCATGGAAATCGCCATAGACGCTCTCACCAATTATCGTGGGGTGAAATGTCTCAGTCATTGGATTCTCTGAACATTCGTAAAAGAGGAGAAGAGAGTCTAATTTGATTTGAAAAGAATCTACACTAAATTCAAATTGCCTCCGGAGGGAATCCACAAATTTCAGTTCCACATTTTTCCCACTGTTGTTCGACAGAGATATTAGACTCCATCGGTCAGAGTCATTGCACACTTTAACCATTTTCTGCACATAAGCTTCCTATAATTTAAAAGATAAAACAAGAAGATGAGAAAACCTAGAAAAAATAATAAATAAATACATCCTCTTCACAGCTGAGAATTATTCTGCTCCTTCCCTTTTGTCAAGTTTCAGCAAACCACTATCTAGTCTTCTGAAAGCAAGCAAACAAAAAATACATTTAACGAGTGGTTTTACCGTCTGGGAAAGAGACTAGAAGCAATAGTTTGAGGCTTTTGGCCGACGTAGCAGAGTACTAAGAGGTTCTTTGCCATGTCTGATACTTACAATGATACTTTCTGAAAACGGTCTTATTTTTTGAAAATGTACAATATTCACACAATGTCCACACAAGACTCAAAAGACAGAAAGGCACACAGGGACAAGTTGCTCTGCCTCTCACCCTTGCCCCTAGTCACTCACTTCCTCCTCTCCCCCTCCCCCAGGCAACCTCTGTGACTGGAACCCAGAATGTCCCTTTAGGGATACTCCACAGTTTACAATCAAATCTGAACTAAACCGGGAAATTCTGGGAGACTGGCTCCGCAGACAATCTTAAGTAATTACATAAAACTGGCTTTGAACCAAGGGGGGGGGGAGTTTCTAATCCTTATCCTCAACACAGGAACCACCCCTGAAACCTCCGTATACACAAGGAATCAGCTGAACGCAGACAGAGCCGCTATTCACATTTTCCGATACAATAATAAACCCACCGACTCTGCTTGGGGCTGCTGTTCTCCCAAAGACTAGCCCGTGAAATGACTCAAAACACGTACTGACATCATTTTGTTCTCCCAAGGAGCAGCAACGACTGTGGACAACACTCAAGCAAGGAAAGCCAAGAGCTAAAGGCTAAGAAGGAAGAGAAGGGAGAGGCGGCCCAGGCAGCCGGCGAGAGTTGTGGCGCCGAAGCGCCCAGCAAACTGAAACGACACCAGCCGCGCACGTCAGTTCTCTCCGTGGCCAGCGAGCAAGAGAGCAGGCGCGCCCGCCGCAGTCCCCGCCGCAGAAGCGCGGCCTCCGACGCCAGCCCCGCGCCCCGGCCGCCGCCCCCGGCCCGTCTGCGGCGGCTTTACCTTGAGCGTGAGCGGCGTGATCTTCTCTTTGTTCACCCCTTCGGGCAAGAAGTCCAACAGGCAGTCGAGCACGACGTCCTTCACAGTCTGAAACTCCTCTTCCCCGCGCAGGTCGGCGCAGAAGATGAGGTCCAGGTCCTTGTAGCCCAGGCCGCTGTCCTGGTGCAGGACGTGGCTGGCGGCCGAGCCGTTGAGGCGCACGTCGCGGACGCCGATGCGCTTGTCGGCCAGGCGGCGCCGCACCACCTTCACGATCAGACTGGGCTGCAGCTCGAGCGTGGGGAAGTTCCCGCGCCCGTGGATCGGGATGGTCTCGCTCAAGATGCCGTCCAGCCGCTGCACTTGCTCCCAGTTCAGCACGTTGCAGTGCGCCGTGGGGCTGTCGCAATAGTCCAAGCAGGGCCCGCCGAAGTCGCCGCCGCTCAAGTCGCCGCCCAGGGGGATGTAGGCGCCGACGGCCAGCTCGTCCTCGGCCATAGCGAAGTACCCTTCGCCCTCCGCCATGAAGTGCCCGCCGAATGCCACTTGGCCCTGGTCAGTCCTGAAAGAAAAAGGGGGAAGGCGCGCGGTGAGGACGCGTGGCAGCCCGCAGTGCCCCTCTGAGGAAAGTGCGCGCCCGCTCCCCGCTCGCCGCCCGGCGCCTCAGGCTCGCCCTCCCCAGACCCTCCCGGCCCCAGCCGCGCGCGCCGCGTCCCGCAGAGCAGCCCCGCACCAAAAGTATCTCTGATGCATCTGGAAAGCGCAAGCGGGAGTCCCGTCTGTGTCACCTGGAGGCGGCCGCCCCTTCTAGGAGCGCAGCGAGCGAGGAACCGCGAGGCGGCAATACTTTGGGGAGCTGCGAGTGCGCTCCCGGCAACAGCCAGCGACTTACTCCTCTCCAGACCCGGCCGCCCGCGCAGGCCACTCCCGCCCCTCGGCCCCGCCCGCGCCGCGGCCCCTGCAGCTGCGGTGGTCCCGGAGGTGGCGGCTCCTACTGCCGCCGCCGCACACGCTCCGGTCTCTGGAGCTTTAGCAGTTGTGCGGGGAAAACGTCTTCAAGTACTTTTTTTATACCGGGCCTCTCCGCGCTTCCGGGGCCCGAGCGCCGCGCGCTCGCCACACCCTCTCATCTGCATAGGGCGCCGCCCCCGCCCGCGCCGGCGGCCGAGCGACCGAGCCCCGCGAGCTGGGTGTGCGGCGCGACGAGCGCTCCCCAGGGCGCGACACCAGAGGCGCGCGCGCGCGTGTGTGTGTGTTTGTGTGTGTGTGTGTGCGTGTTTTCAGACACCCGAACACACACGCGCTTGTATTTATGCCAGATATTTGATACAAGTGCGGCCCCCCGCCCACGCTCCGCTTTCTCAACAGGGACACAAAATGCCTCACGAGTCCTAAGCGGCCCTAAAAGCCGGGTCGCGACGACACTCGCGCAACTACAAAAACTTCCCAAACATCACATTCTCGCCCACTACAGCGAGTCGTGACCGCTTCCTGACGGGCTCCCGAGGCGCTTCACCTCCCTTCAGACCGCGCACTTCATGAAGAGCCCCGGCCCGGTGTGAACGGACGAGGCCGTTCGCTCACGCACATCAGTCTCCGCGCGCGAGAGGCAGGGCTCGCTGGGAATTGGGTTTCCGTTTCGAGACCTCAGGAAGCGCCGGGAGCTCGAGGCGAGCCCGAGGGAGCGCGGGGGCGGGGCCGGGGCGGGCGTTGGGCCCCGCGCGCGAGCGGCTTGGGACGGCGGGAGCGCGTCGACAGCCCGCGCGCGTCACCGAGGGGGCGCCGCGGCCGGCGGGTCCCGAGGCCCTGAGGCCCTGAGGGCGAGCGCCCTTTGGCCCGGGAATGCGCGGCCCGGAGCGGCGCGGGGAGCGCGTCGCCGCCGAGCGACTGCCAGAGCCGCTGCGCCGGCCGGGCCCTCTGGGGCGCGTTCTCTCAGGGAACTTCCAGGAGGCGAAGCGCATTCGCCCTCGCGCTAAGTAAGGTTTGCGTTGCTAAGTGAATACAAACGTCTGTGTGAATTTAGTTTCCCACGAAACGTACAAAGTACTAGTTTAAAGGGTGAAAGAGTTTCTTGCCCTCAGCCTCAGTCGCTTCGGCGGAGCGAAAGGAGGGTCAGCGTCACCACCACGCGCGCTCGCGCCACAGTTTTTGCTAGGAAGACCCCCCCCTCCCGGAACCCTCCCCCACACGTCCGCCTCCCTTTTCTGGCGTTCGATTCCTGCTACTCCCGGCGTCTTTCCCAACTAAAAGTAACTTTGCTTCGCTGCGGAGACGGCGGGAGGCTGAGACGGAAGCTAAGGGGAGAGCGCGCTGGGGAAGAAGCGAAATACTACCTCCCTTGGGCTTGCGCGCCCCGACCCCCCACCCTGGGAGAACAGGCGTACCCACTAAACTGGGGGTGCCCGGCACTAGGGCCTACTCACTAAAGCTGCGCACTTCGGCGTGAGGGTGGGAGCGGGAGGGCGGGGCGGGGCGGGGCGGGGTTCGGCCGTCACCCGCGGAGCGCCTGGCTGCGTGACGACGCCGCCCCCTGCCGGTGCCCTGCGGAGCTGCGTCCCAAAGCCCGACCGGACCTGCGGGGAGGGGGAGGGGACAAGGGGGGCTGTCTGTCAGCAAAGCGTCCAGCGCTGTGGGGTGGGGTCGGGAAGGGACCCTAGAACAAGCACCCAATTCACCTGCTGATGTTCGCGCCCCCAACACCCCTCGCCCCCCATCCCAGCTATCCAAGCGTTAAGGCATCCATTTTATCCAGTCACCAAGTGTGTTTATTTTTTTACATGACTTCCTACTTTGTGGCAGGCACCAAGCTAAGTGCTGAGAATGTGAGAATCACTGTGTTTTACACAATCTAGTCGACAGAAAGTGGAGAACATGATTTTGGTTCAAATGTACATGTGTTATGAGAGACGTATGTTTCCCCACAGAAGTGGTGGTCTACTAGGACGGAGGGACTGGGAAAGAAGACCAGAAATGAGCTGTTAATTGGAATGAATCTTCAGAAATGGGCTTTCCTTGGTTGTCGAGGAAAAAGGAAATGGGCATTATTAACGAAGGGAAATGTGTGAGAGAATTAAAGAATGTTTGAGAAAGGATGTCTAGGCCACCATGCTAAGAAATAAGATTGCTAGTGCATTAGGGTAAGGTCTTCGGGGCTTCCAAAAACTTAGAATCTCCAGGCCATACTCTCAGCTCTTTATTTATTTTTTTTAAAGATTTATTTTTATTTATTTATTTATTTATTTATACAAGCACAGGGTATAGCCAGAAGGGCGGGAGGGTGAGAGAATTCACCAGAGCCAGAGCGGGGAGCAGAGCAGGCAGAAGGACCCAGGTACATTGCTGAGGGGAGCAGCGGGCGGCAGGGGAGATCTGCATGCCATGTGGGACCGACTGGGTAGCTGCTGGGGATCAAACCAGCGCTGCTGCTTCAGCTTCGAAACCTAGTGCTTAACCGCTGCGCCACCGGGGAGGCCCCTCTCAGCTCTTTAAATATAAAACTTATTTTCCACTTCAAGAGGAAGGTAGTCTATGTCACAGGGATTTAAACAGGAAAGGAGAGGTAAAGAGACTGAAACCCACGTTTCACAGCTAGTAAATGGTGGGCTCAGACCTTAAGCATTTAGCTGGTGTTCTTGAACAGGCTGTCTGTAGTTGGCTTACTAGTACCTTCTCTCCTGAAGGCAAGGTAGGTACAAATTGCAAACTATTTCAAAGAAAAGAGACCCATTAAAAATGTATTTTCTAAAGGACAATATGAATTCTGCCCTTTCTTAAAGTCAAAGGGGTAGTAGATTTACATTTGCTTAACTGCACTTTAAGAAAGAGAAAGGAAGTAAGGGAGGGAGGGAGAGTAAGAAAGAAAGAAAAAGAAAAGATCTGTGCCATTATTTTGTACTTTCTTTTAACCCTTTCTCCAAATGTGGGGGGAAAAATTGTCTCAGAGCTGGTGAATATCTGTACTTCAAGCATGTCTAAGAATTTGTTTTATGGGGCTAAAAGAATCTGTATTTTAGCAAATTGCCCAGTGTGATCATGATACAGAAGGACCCTGCCACACTTTGCACTGCATCTACAAGAGTCACTTTGGCCTGGCTTTCTAGGTGGGGATCTTTTCCTAAGCAAAACCAGCCCCTAGCAGTTCACATGGCCCCTCCCAATAACACAGGGCATGGCTGAGAGAGAGAAGTAAAACAGGAGGCCAGACACCAGAGAACCTGAACTGTGTCAGACCCTGTGTTGGAAAAAAAGATGAGTCCCAGCAGCAGCGGGATAAGATCTCTTCCTGGATCTGTCAGGGCATGTAGCTGACACGTTCTTAATCCTTAAACAAAGTATTTATTCCTTTTTTCCCAACCAGGTTCCAGGTTCTCCCCTCCTCTTCCAAATCTCAACATCTGGATCTTACCATTTCAAACACTGGGACATTTGAGATATCTTAATCCTGCCAGTGTCTTGGTGGTGCTTTGATGGAATTCACATGACCACATGAAGCATTATTAAATGAAAGCATATTGCTATTCTGTGTCCCTCCTCTGTCTTCAAATTGAGATAATTTTTAATTTCGGGGGGGAAATGTTAATCTTATATGACATAGTAAATTTTGAAGTTGAAAGCATTTTAGATAATCAAAACAGTTATTAAATGAGAGATTCTGTACCTTTTTTTAAAGATTTTATTTATTTATGCATACAAGAGCTGGGGTACAGGCCAGAGGTGTGGGGGATGAGAGGATTCACCAGAGACAGAGTGGGGAACAGAACAGGCAGATCGACTGAAATACACTGCTGAGGGGAGCAGCGGCGAGACAGGAGAGGTCTGCTGCGCCATGTGGATTGCTCCCTGGCAGGCCTGGGATTGAAATCGTGCTGAAGAGGCTGTGGATTGCTTTATACTGTGGTGCTTAACCCCTTGTGTCACTAGGGAGGCCCCTGAAATTCTGTGCTTTGAATCCATAGCAAAGACATCTCTCCACACAGTTACTCTCCACACAGTAACTACGAGTAGTTTTAGCTTCTGATCTTTTTGATAACTAATTTACCTTACCCCTCTTAAAGAAAGAAAATAAGATCTATATGTGAGTCTATCTTTTCCCTGTTTTCAATTTCCTTTTAGACTTAAAACTGAACTGGAACGGCACTCTGCTCTTACTTTCCAAGTTCTGGATATTCAGATTGAATACAACATTGAGGACCAAGGTATTTTTTATTTTGAAACAACTGTTGAGAGCCAGAAAACACAGCGACATAAGTGGGCTGATGACAATCTTACAGTTAGTTTGCAAGAAACACTGCACACTAAAACATGATGTGAAGTTTGGAGATTGCCCCAAGTTTATTAAGCTGTAGTGTTACTGTTCCCTTTTTGTCTTGTTTGCTTCCTGTCTTCTCAAAAAAAAAAAAAATGGTTTTATATGATAGGAAGCAAACAATTATGAAATGATTCCCTAAACTCCTACCCAGAAGGAAAGAGAAAAGAGCCACAAAAACTGCTATTAGGCCTACTACTTCTCTGTCCCATAGCACTCTGGCCAGTTGTCCCTCACGTTCTTACGTATCACATTCCTGACCTTTCCACACCAGCCCTCCCCATTCTTCTCCATAGATTTTCTACCCTCTACTATTCTGCTCTTTGAATCTTTCCCTACAAAATAACATCAATGTGCAGAACCACTTTGAAGTCAGGTAGAGCATTAGAATCGTGAAAAATTTGAGCCCCTAATCCCAAACTCTCTTGCCATTTACCACCTTTATAAGACAAATCCTAGTAATTCCGGAGACCACTGAGGGACAAAACAGGCATCTTTTCCAAGCTAGGACATGCAGATGTCTGCATTGCAGAGTAAACTGGAGTGTCTCCACTGTCCAGTTATTGTTAGAGCACAACTAATCAAAGTGCTATATGTAAAAATTAAAACTCAGTTGAAAGTTTTCACAGGGAAA